CATTCCCTCACTCACTGCTTGGACCCAGCCACACATCACCTCCTGAGAGGCCTTAACCAACCAGGAGGGGCATTGTCCAATGGCTGCTCTCACAAGTTAGCCAACTTCCTTGAGATGAACAAACATAAACTCTTCCCAGATAACCATGTCAGACCATGTGTCAGCCAACTCAACAGAATCTGCAAGCTGGAGTCCAGCTGAGAGCTAATTCAAGTGAATCACCTGACAGATGCCTCAAATAATTCTCACAGCAACCCTTCAAGTGATCTTCTGACCCATCCCTCATTAAGAGGGATTGGATCACCTTAAACAAGGCCTCTGGATGGCATTCTGCAGATGCAATAACAGCAGAAAAATAGCTATGTTTTGCCACTGTTATTGCCATGGTGTAATCCTTAATAAAAGCTCTTACCCATGTTTGGTCAGATTCACTCTTCATCTTCCTCAGTGACTCTCTAGGCATCTTTTCTGCTGCTTCATCTACCAGAGTTCCTCTGAAACACCAGGGACTTCCCAGGATCCACAGCAAGAAAAGGCCACACAGGTGCAATCCAATCCAAGTCCATTGTCACCCTCTTATTCCAAGTAGCAATTAAGGTCTCAGTCAAACTGTGCATCAGAGTTTCAGGAACAATCCTAAGTGCCCTCTGAAACCCAGTAGGGTCCAGGCACCTGGGCAGACAGATCAAGTATGTATCCTCGCTGCTATGAGGGGTAGATGTGGAGAATTCCAAGGCAATCAAAGAGTAATCTGATCATGACAAGCAACTGATGTTAACATCTCCTATATCTGAATCATGTTGCCACTGCCCCAAGACAAAAGTCAGATCTAATGCATTACCTCTGCTGAGTTGGGGCCTCACTTATCAGGTTCAGATCCATGGTGCCCATGTTGGCCATGAACTCCCATATCTGTACCCAGGGAAAGCAGGTTGAAGTCTCCCAGTACCATAAATCTGGGAAATTCCACAGCCAATTCAGTCACACTGTTGAACAGCTCAGTCAAGGAAGCCACTATGCAGTATGGAGGCTGATATAATAGCAGCAATCCTATTTTTTCCCTAGAGCTAGCTTCATAAACAGTATTTCATATCCAGTTATCTGTGGAGCAGAACCTCTGAAAGCCACAAGAATCTCCCAGATGACAACAGCCACTTCCCCACTCCTGCCCTGGGGTTGTGGCTAATGCCACACTTGAAACCCCAGTGAGCATGTTCCCAAGGTGGGAAACATACACACAAACGCCTATTCATGTCTTAGTAAGACATGCTAGGTTGGCCCTATCATCCATAATAAGATCTTGAACGAAGAATGATTTTTTACAAACCAACCTGGCATTAAGGGGCAACAGCCTGAGCCAGGGCCACTGAGACACTGATGACTAGGTGCTGGGGTTGAGCCCAGGGTCCAGAAGACAGAATTGGTACAAGACACTGTGTACACTTTCCCTAAGACCTGCCCATCCCTTGTCTCCTGCCATATCTCCCTCTGCCCATCAACAGCAAGATGATACTGCCTGCCCCCCCTTGAACCAACCCTCCCAAACCCTGCCAGCTCTCCCCCAGGTCCAAAGATCCCACCCAATGTATAGACACAAACCATCTACTCCCTAACCAGCTAGCTTTTCAGAAACCTTGGTCTACCTCTGTTCATGCACTCGGTGGAATTTCAGATCTGATTAAGCCAGCTGCATCAATCAACATACTATGACACACGCAACCCTTGATTCCGTACCTACTCTCATTGAGACTAATCAGGGGTGTAAAAACAGCCCTCTCAATGACACTTGCAGACTGGTGTGATCTGAGAAGGTTATTGTTGTCCCTACCATCTCACACCCAGAGAGAAAACAGACATACTCCAACTCAGGCGTCTCCGGTCTGAAAAAAGCATCCACCACAATCCTTCTAAACCACCAATCCAAAGTCCTAGTGCCTCTCAGTGCCCAGTTCCTCTGGTGCCTTAGGCCACAAACGTCTTAGACTTGTAAACAACACAAACGTCACCACCAGTAATTGGAGCAAAGAGCTGATAGTCCACTTCCTTGTGGTCCCAATGACAGAACATGAGGGAGACAAGATGGCTGCTCCTCAAGGTCATGTATTCCACAGAAGCTGAGGACTCAGGCCAGCATCCAATTCAGGTGCTTGGCAAGATTAAGGGAAATAGAAGAGGCAAATGACCGATCGGGTGGATGAATAGAATCCAAGAGATTACTGGAATATCTTAGAAGAGCTATGAGTTTCATTAAAGACAGATCAAGCTAGCACATATTTGTCCAAACAGTCTGATCCCTAAATAACTGTGGGCCTTTCTCTGCTATTAAGTGCTATTCATTCCTCCTTGTGTTGGCACAAAATAATGCCACCATAAACTTTGCTATGCCTCTCACCAATTCTTATTTTGTCTCTTCTGCATCTGTTCTATGCCACTGTCAAGTTGTATCATTGGGACGTGCACGTATGCCAGTCATTATAATCAGTGATTAGTCTTCTCTGGTTAGGCTGCTGTCCCCCGTCAAAAGATAACCAGGCAATGGGAAAAATCAGCACCAATCAGGGCACTGCAGCATTAATGGGGTGGGCCTGGACTGGGGACTCCTTTCTAGTCTGGTCTGCCCCTCCTGCCACACCCCATCTATACATCTTCCAAGTTAAAACAATATGAAATTTAAAACACAGATGGGAAAACACTAGGATAGAAATAATCCCAAAGAGGAAGAAGGCAGGTCCTGCAATGACTGTACAACTAGCTATCCTGTAAACTGGGATAACTAAAGCTGACCAGCCACTGAGCAAGATTAGTAAAACCAGACAATTACCAACAAAAGCCCAGCTTGAGGTCCCTCATGATTTTCAGGACCTTATCACGAGAAAAAAGTGAGGCTCCCTTATCTGAAGATAAACATACTGCTTCCAATATAGCATTAATCTGGTACTGAACAAATATCCCCTAATTCTTGCTCAGATAAAGTATTGGAGATTTGATCTCAACACATCTCCCTTGTGGAAGCCTGGAGAGAAACTGGTTTTAAAAATAAGAAGAGATCGTAGTATGAAAAGAACCAAATGGAGATGAATTCAGTGGGGGTGGCTAATGGGCTTGCCAATACTCACAGATCATGTCTCTTCTTACGTCCACAACTCAAGATAACAGGTGGCAAAATGTCACAGATTTTGCTGGCCTTGAATCTGAGTAGGATAACATCATTTAAAGGGGGAAAAGAGTATTTTTTATTCTAATACGTGAAACAACAACAACACAAGGCTGGAGATAAGTTGAAGAAATCTTGGCGCAATTAAGTGGGGGAGATGAGGGTTGTCTGGGCAGGATGGGAACTGCAAGTGGGGACAGGCGTTGGTTGTGCCAAGCACGGTCCAAAAATACATCAAAACATATATCACAAATAAATAAAGTCACCTACTGGGATCTGGCACAGGATTAAGAATGACCTCTGTTGATGAAATGCTTAGAAGTCTACCTGGGCTGAAGTAAGTGCCATTTTTGCCTCACAGGTGAAATAGCCTAATTTTCATCTGGGTTGTTGAGACACCAAAGCCAAGATTTGCGGTATCATGAAGAGATGGAGCAAGCAGGCCCTCTACTGCCTGAAAGGAGCATAGTCTTAAAAAAAAAGTTCTCAAGGAAAATATTCTTAAGGCATTTAGCACTACTTGAACATTGTCCCTTTTAGGCCTGAAGGAAATTCCAGTTGACGGAAGTCCTGCTCTTATTCTCTCATATGCCATGATAAGAGCTTTATTGCTGAAATCACATTTCCTGGGGCTGAAATCACACAGAGTGTTCAAACTTCTATCTGCTGACAGCAAAAGGGCAGGAAAATTCCACTCTTCAGAGTCAGAAGGTGCTTATGAAACCCCAAATTAGGAAGGGAAGGAGGAAAAAGAAACAGAAAATAGTCAGAAAACTTGGAGGGGGGAGAGATGATAGGAGTTGCATAACTGCTTGAACAAATTAGTTGCCTATGAATGAATGACTATACTCTTTATTTGCACCCATATAGGTGCTAACAAGCACAATACACGTATCAAGACAGAAGTATGCATGCCACACACACACACACACGGGGGGGGGGTAGGAAAGAGAGAGTTACAATATAAGTTAAG